AGTACAGGGGCACTATCACCTCCCTGGTCCTGCTGGCCACACTATTCTTGATACAGGCCAGGATGCCATTGGCCCTCTTGGCCACCTGGGCACACTGCTGGCTCATGTTCAGGCGGCTGAACATGAGCTTCCTCTGTGCCTTCCCTTACACTATTTTGCACGACAAAGAAAACAGGTATTCCTACACGGCATGAAGCTTTGACCCACACTGGCTAGCACAGCACTGTGAACTTCCCCATTCTGCATGGTACCAGTGCTGCCCAAGGACCAACTGCTCAAAACTTTTCTACTCTGCAATGACTGCAAGAAAAAAACATCAACCCACAGCCTTGGATTGGCATGTGGGTTTCCTGACTGCTAACCTTCCAGTTCCAACATTCTCAATGCCTTTTCCTTACCTGTTTGATTTAAACACACATGCAGAATATACATTATCCCAGACAGGATTACTACTGATAAAATGGCAATCCATATGACTTATAACAGTACTTCTGAAAGATGGATTGTTTTTACTTATTAGCACAAATGACAAATCTTAATCTTTAAAAGTAGGTATGCCTGAGCTTGTGAAAAAATATGAAGGCTTTTGTACTGACAACTATTTTATTTGCACAAAATCAGTTTTCTGTTCCTAAAGAGGCCTGTTCTAGACCTCCAGCATTTTAGATGGAAATAGTCTAGACTCTAGATTCTGTTATCAATGTACTTGGTGAAATTATAAAAGTACAAGTATGAGGAAACAAAAAGAAAAGGAGCAAAAGAAATTTAGGAGTCTACAAAGGCCTCACAACAGAATAAAAAAAATCTCGTATTATTCTCTTTGATCTCACAATCCCACAAATATTTTAGATATATCTATTATTCTTATCACCAAAATGTTTGTTTACAATTTAACTTTTGTACCCTAAAATACGAAGCCATAGTTTGCCGCTTCATGTTAGTTGTTTCCTCAGGGTGTCGCATAACCTCCATCGTGTCAACCTGGAAGACAAAACTCAGATGTTAGAGCTGTTCCAGAAACACTGCAGACCCACCCCACCTCACCCATGAAAGCTGGGTTCAGTTTTTGTTACGGTCGTTCCTTCAGGTGTGAGTACTTCAGAGTACTTTATCAGAGTTAGGAAGGCCAGCTTCTAACACATGCAGGACACACACTGATTTCAGAGAGCTGTAAGTATTCCAAATGATTTCACACTTTTGTTATGGTAGTATAACCCTCAGCCAATGAAGCAGCTGTCAAGATGCAATACCTTATGAACTGATTTCTAAGAAGCATTCCTCTTATCAACACTACAATGAATTCCATCCGGTCTTATTTTCTATATAGGAAGAGTTATCATTTTTGTAATGACCAGGAAGTAAATTGAGCTGCCTCATTTTGCTCACATATGGAAAAATGTTCCTGTCGAATAACAAGTGGCAAACAAAGTAGGTAATCTCAGAATGTACAAGTCTTTTCCTTTCTGCTGCTGTGGTTACTATTAATTACTTTAAATTGCCATTTTGATGCCAAGAATTTCAGAAATCTTACTCTGCTGAACTGCCATAGCTTCAAATACTGCTTTTTCAGCATTTGAGAAGAGTTATTTTTAGAGGGTATACATGGACAGCAAACATATTGCTCCTTGTATATTTTAGTTATATTGTCAGTACAGCTGTTCTTATCAAAATGAAACCAGAATTTATGAATGAGTATAAACATGGTTACCAATCACAAGCAGATTGTGTTGCTGTATTACAGCTCAACAAAATTAAAGAAAATCAACCAGCATCCTGTTTGCATGGAGCATTAACAACATTTTAGCAGTCACTTGCTTTGTGGCAGTTTACCATCTGCTCTGACCAGGTGGCATTTGTATAAACCAGATAATGCTGTTGTCAGCACCTGTGCTACACTTCCTGGACTTTGCTCCATATGATCATTTCCAACACTCACTGACTTAAGACCACTCTTCTGAACACTAAAAGTAATTGCTGAAAGATTACGGTTCTCAATAAAGTAACTGTGTCTCTTACCTTCAGGAGATATTTAGGAGACTGCATGCAAAATACAAAGGAAATGAAGCACTAAGTAGTAATAGATCAAGAAAATGGATTTTGCGTTGGGAAAGAAATCAAAAGAAAACTTGTGAAGAGAAGATTCAGCATACAGATGGTGCAAAGGGAGACAGATTTCCATGAGGGTGACCATAAAAATTTCAGTATGTTTCTGTAATCTGTGATGTTCTAGCCCAGAGTGATGTACATGCATTAGTACGCATCTCAAACGAACTCATGAGAGAAAAAAAAAGAAAAAAAAAAAAGATGCAGTTTGATTTCAGTTTTAAGGATGTTAACAGAAAACTCTGTAATATATCCCAGGAAAAACGCCTTATCAGCAAGATAACATCAAACATCTTAAGAGGTCACCTGACAAAGTAAACATCAATGACCTAATCAGAAGAGCAGGCATGTCCATGGGGAAAGATATGGGAATGTTTCAAAATTATCTTGGCAAGGCAACTGCTTTTTGAGAATTGATATCTAAATCTCTAGCAGAGGTCAGGTAGAAGACAAAAGCCATACCAGTGAATACTGAGAGTAAGTTCAAAATAACTGGTAACATTTAGTATTAAAAGACAATTTAATCATAAAGAACACCAAATCAAGAGCAAAAGCAAATAGTTTGAGAACTGCACTGAAGCTCAAATGTCCATGAATTTGAACTTCTAAATTGGATTCTTGTCTGTCTAGAAAAACAGAGCCTCGTAGTGATATTGTTGTTGGAGGTTCAGTACTCATGATCATACCTGGAAGATCTGCTGGCCCATAAAGGGTAAGCTTATGCTCTACCTTTTGGGCAGTAGGATACTGTAAGCATCTCCTTTTGACAGCTGCTTATTTTCACCAAACCTGTAGAATCTTAACGATCTTTGAGATTTGCCACTCTGTCAAATATGGTTTACTACAGCCTGCTGAGTTCAAAAGGGTTTTGTTTTGTTTTGTTTTGGGGTTTTTTTTGGGGGGGAAGGGAGTTAAGACACAGAAAGACAGATGGTCAGAAACACTCACAGAGATGTAATATACTTTTCCTCAGAAAATCAGGGTAAAACCAGTATCGTGAGATTCCTTTTTCTATGAGTAGGATCAATTTCCAAATCTTTTTGACAAGAAATATTTGACGTTTCCATTAGAAAAATTCTGATAGACCCTGAAGCTAGGGAGATTTCCCTGTAAGAATTTTTAGAAGTTTTGTCTCTGGTTAATTTATAACATTGTGTGTCTATGAAGCCATGCACTTTTACAGTAGGGCAATAATCGCATGTACAACAGGCAACAGGCTTTATCACAACTGGCTTTGTAGAAAACAATAGAGCATAATAAGAATGTCATGATATAATCTTGTGTTTTAAATCACTAGCTACTCTTTTTAAACTAAAATGAAGAATATTTCAACTGTTAAGTCATATTTTTACATGATAGTAGTAGTGATGTACAATATACATTTATATGATTACAACTGAAATGGAAAACAGCTTGACCTACAGAAGACTGTTCCGTCACTAAAAAAAAATTGCTTATAATAGTTTTGAAACAATATTAAAAGAATGATTTATGACATCATGTCACCTTAGGAAGTCACTGGAAATTATTACTTTCACATATTGACCACACCTGCTGCTGGCATGGTATGAAATACTGTAAAACCAAAAAATACGTTAAGCAAAAAAGCTCATAAATTAAATAACAAATGAAAATTTCCAAACTTCCAAACAAAATTACCATCTTTGGATTTTTTTTAACAAATTGTAAAATAGTAATTTCAAATCTTTTTCCTGAAGTTGTTTTAATTAGAAGTTTTATGAAATTATAAGAAAGATTTTTTTCAGCTACAAACTATTTCAATTAACATTTTCTGAATAGTGCCGCACTTATGCATGTCTTTTAGCTCTTTCCTTAAAAGTTTGAAGGGTGAGTAAAAACCACTTAAACACCACTTAGTAACTGACTGTGTTTATTAAAGCTCTAAAAGAGAACTGCTCTACTCCATTGCAGCTGTACCAATAAAATGCATGCTTAGAAAGCTTATGCTGAATATAGCTGGATGTGGAGGACAATGTGTGTATAATACAAGAAAACTGGAAAGGCCATTATCTGTCCTTCAGCACTGAGCACTGAAAGTGTTTATACCAGAGAGGAAATAAATCTCTGAAATTCACATCTATATTTGCAGGTACAGTGAAGGATAGAGATGTCTGGATGACATGAATTACTCTATCAACATTTGAGCATGAGCTCCTAATCACAGGAGAGAATGAAAAGAAACAGAAAACCCAGAACATAAAATTCTGCAGACTTTTGAACAGTTGCTGTTACCACATTTGTTTTTAAAAATTATTACCGCTTGCTTTGGAGGCAAAAAAAACCCCAAACCCTTAACTAAGCTAACTCTAACAGTACTACTTAAGAAGCAGGGAGGGGCTGCACGTGCTATCAGCTTGAGGCACAAGAGTTTTCCTCACAAATTAAGTGTACTGCATTGGCAACACACCCTATTAACTGCCATAAAATTATCCCATCCTTTTGCAATTATGCCACATCCTTTTACGGCAAAATTCAGCGGCGTTTAAATTCTACAGTTCTTTTTAAAGAACAGTGCTTTTGTTGAGTTATTCTTTTCTGGTCATCTATCAGTCACAAATGTGCCCTGGTATTTCACTTGCAAGTTGAATAAAAAAGGAACAGATCTTTTTTTATTTTGCCTTTCATACCGTTAAATACACTATTCAAATTTTACCTAATTAAATCTCTCTCTGGCCAAAATTGCCAGAGGAAAATGACCCCATTGAAATAAAGAGGAATATTGCTACCAACATCAATGTAACTGAGATTTCACTCTGAAAGTTTAAAGATTAATCAGTAGTAAATTGATTCTTCACTGCGTTCTACAACAGGGTCCCCACTAAAACTGGAAACGGTGCTCACAGCTGAGGTGCATGTTTTCTGATATTAAGGCAGACTCTCATTTGGTAAGAACCTCACTATATACCTATATCAGCTAAGCATCGTGTCCATAGTCTTGCTGTAATATTTTATGAACAATTGCCTGTCTTCAAAGGGAACACTACCAACCTTGATACGCCCAGCACTAAGCTGCGGAGGCAAAGACCTAGATGCTGCTGTCACTCTGGCTCTTGCTTGTGCCAAGTTACCTGTTCAAAAAGAAAGAAACACATACTGCAAAAACTGTTCAAGAAGCTTAGCAGGGAAAAATTTGTATGGTGGAAAATCAGTTTGTACAATAGTACTAAAACCAGCAGATACCACCACACTTCTTCCACACCCCACTCATTACCAATTGTGCCTGCAGAGCATTCAGCACGGGCATGACAGAGTGCAGTGTTGATTTAAAAGGGAGGAAAAAGTCAGTGATAAGGTGGTATGTCACTGACCTTAGCTACTGAGCTGATGAAAACAACGACAGCACAAAGGCATACAGCTCAATCACTAGTAATCAATTTCTCTGTGACTCATTGAGAGATTTAAAAGAGAAAAAGACAGCAGAAACAATCTCGTTTCTATGAAATCATGTGGATCCTGAAGTGTTTAGACAGCATCTTAAGCTCACAAACTAATGAAAGAGATGAGAAAATGATAAGACCGTATCTTTTTTTGACCTTTTGACATATAGGCCTGCTTAATCCCCAATCTTATTGTCCCTTGGGGTTTTTAAAGACTGACTCAATTCCTCAGGCAAAAACATATTGTGGTGTCAACTGAAAGACGAGTGCCTTTTTTTAAATGTACAGTATGACGTGTCCTAAACTTTTTCCTCTGTACTTGTAGAAAGCCAAAGTCATCACAAAACAGCTTTTCAAAATAAAGGCTCAGAGAAGAGAGAGGAAGTGATACGGGACTGTGCATATGCAAGACACTCTGTATATTTCAAAGTTTTAGCAAGTCTAGCACAAGATGTCCAAATGTTTTCTCTGGCTATATCTTCAGAGGCTAAACTGTGATTAATAGCATTGAAAGAACCCTTTGAAGCAGGATTGGTGACATCAAAGCCCTAATCCATGGGTGGCAGGATTTTTATAATGAGTGGGAAGCATTTTAACACATTTCAAAGGATTTACAGCATGAATAAACAATAGGCCTCTGCAGATGTACCACACACCTTTCAGAACCAGAACACATAAATAAGTGTCCATTTTAATTTAAATGTAAATAAAGTGTTAACACTTCTTTCAGATGCTAAGTGCCCTGTTTGCATCAACTCCAGTGTTTAGCTGTTTGCTTTACAGAAGGCCAGTAACTCTAAACAGTCTTCAGAGTTTTGCTAAACTATATATTACATAACTGGTAAGGAGGCAGGATGGGAAAAACAAAAACCAAGAACACTTAATCACTGGTAATTATTCCATAAGGGAGCAGAGCAAACCCAGTGTTCACATAACACTGCAAGGAACTTTTGCTCTTACTTTCCTCCAAATAAGAAAAATACTAAACCCCTGAAAACAGTCTGGGGGTTAGCACTCAAACACAGCAATAACATTCTTTGGAGCGATTCAAACATTCTGTATTCATTTTAAAAAGTATTTCTCTTTTAAGCTGCTGGCATTGGGATTGACACAATGCTGCAAAACTGGCACGTCATTTCCAGATCTAACAGCCTATGTTACCTGACAGTCTAAATCACAGTGCAGAACACAAGGTATGTCCACGTTTTTGGAAACTGCTTTTGGCTATACTGTGTAGGTTAATGAGAACTGCAACTCTGTTTTGAAAACCTTATATATCTATATACACACATAGTACCTATGGTATATACATGTATCTCTCTAAGGTTAAAATGAGAACTTTAATAAGCAAGTAGTTGGTGAATTTGTTTTTCTCTTAGCTGTAATTTTGGTATTTTTATATGTTAGAAATTACTCTTTTGTGTCTTTTTTGGCTAAAGTAGACCACTTGAAAAGGTTGTTTTTGGCTAGGCTTCAGATTAGCAAGTCTAAAGCTTGGAAGTCTTGCACTGGGGAACTGATGACACAACATGGGATAAAAGAGGGGAGCTGGGAGAAGAAACAAATTTGAATCAGATTGTTTAAAATGACTAAAATTTTGTTGCATTTTATAACAAATTACAAAACTCTAACCACCAAATAAAATTTAGAATTATAAGACAGTTGCTCAAGGTTCACCACACTCACTGCTGGCACTAGGTTTCTAGGGTTCATAATTAATATCCCTGAGCTCTCCCTTAGTTCCTCATGCAAAACTAAAACTAAACTTAACATTTCTGATCTGGCAAACCAAGCAAATAAATAAACCTTTTTATTAACCAAAAATCTTTAATGACTTCACAAACAAACAAACAAAAATCCCAAAGTGATCAGTTCCTACTTACAAAAAGAAAAGCTTTACATATTGTGATTTTGTTCATTAGTTACTTCCTTCTAGGCATGGATTCTTACCAGTGCTTATTTCATGTGTCAAGTGAATTCCTATGTAATTACTAACTACTGAATTGTAGCATCAGATGAAATCCACAGAATAAATGTTATTAGGATTTTCTTTTCCAGATCAAACACAAAATGATGCTTCAATAAAGGTTCGTGAATTAGTAATCTCAAGTAGTTCACATTCAGGAAAATAACTACCTATCTTTAACATGTCTAAGCCATTAAAACTAATAAACAGAACAAATGTGGTTTGAAAATTAGTCTACATATAAGAAATGTTTCACCTAGAGTTAGCATGGTGTTTATAGTCAGTAAACATTTGGTACCTGTCCCTGCATTCAATTTTCATTTACAAGGCCATTTATTACTTTACACACCAAAAATAATTAAATGTTATTCCACTTTGTGAATAACATCAATATTTGAAGAACAAACGTTTTTAGATAATAACACAGCCAGTTAAAACTGCCATGGGTTCCTTGAAAGGTTAAACCGGTTAAAGGTTAAAACACTGCACTGTGCCTTTCTGAAGTCTAGCTTCACACCTATTATATGGTCAACACTTCAGAGAAAATACGAGTGACATCCATGTAGACTTAAATAAAATACTACGGATATTAAATCCAACTCCATAAAGTGGACCAATTAAGCAATTTAAAAGCTCAAAGTTTTCTTAGTTTTTTTTTTGGAACAGGCATTCATGTGGGAAGGGAGAGAAGTTAATGGTTAAAATTAGGATTAATTTTTTAAACATGTACATGTTTTGATTTTATTCACATGCATTTCTTTTTCAGTTCAACGGGACTGCTCATCTGAAAAATTAAGGCTCCTACTCATGTGTCTGCTGGATCAATTAATTTGTGTCAGTGGGGGAGTCAGTCAGCCCCAATACTTCTCCTTTTTCCCTCTGTTCAATAAAGTTAGGAATGTCATTAATGCTTTGAGAAGTTTCAGTCATTAAAGTTCGTGAAATGCTCTGAGAGCTTCCAACAGAAAGAGAAGTAGCAGCACATAAAATCTATGCACTCACTGGCTAAGCTCACTGTGCCAATGCTCAGCAAAATTTCTTTTGTCTTGAAGCTGTATAGGAGACTGCACATCTCTGCAAACATATTCTTCACTGATGCCTCATTTCAGCTAGGTGGGAAAGACCATACTGTCAAAGTACCATATCTCTTCTATTATGCAAAGCCAAGCAGGAGAAGTTTTGAAAGTATTTTAAAGTATTTATACAGCACAGAAAGAAGAAATGGTTTTCTTTTTTCAGCTTGGACTTTGGAAGTGCTCTCCAGATCTCAGAAAGGACTAGTCAGCATTCCTGGCTTCTCACTTGCATCCCTGGTACTTAATCACTGTGTGATCTGGCTGAATTAATGATTTGTCCAGCCGTTGACTCTCCATACTAATTAGGAAAAGTACGCTCTCTGGCTGGATGTTCTAATGTTACTTACGGTTTGTCAGTGCTTCGTTATTCTTAGGTGATGGGTTCTATAAGTAGTATCCAGAAAATATTAGTAATATTAGCACTGTATTTATAACCTCATTTTGGTTCTGTCTGCAATAGATCACTTCTCCCAAAGTAAGAGCACACCAGGTAAGAATTACATTAAGCTTTGGTACAACGTTTAGTTTGTGAAGTGCCAATGACTTACAGAGAAAGAGCCTAATGACAATGTCACCTTCTGCACGAGCTGTACCATGGATATTACTATTATATAGAGGGCACAGTACAAGCTCTTTCCTTATCCTCATATATTTTATTAATTTCTTTCATGCTTCTGGTTCAGATAAAGAGGAGTTACTTGAAACACCCTGTAGATACAGTATAATATGGTCAGAAATGCTACAGTGCATTCATATTTCATTGATACCACTTCTAATCACAGCTAAGCACTTGCACTCCAGAAAAGGTACAGAGTCAGGCAATGTCTTTGACATACACAGGTTCTTCTCTGTCTTTCCTTTCAGTACATTTTATCTAGCCTAAGGAAGTCGACTGCTTATCTCCATAATGCATTTTCATCTTCTGCTACTGTAAGACTAAGCTTTTCTTAGCTCGACTATAAATGAATACATGTACTTTTTTATTGGGTACTAATTTGAATCTGGTCACTGACTACCAAAACTCTATTCTTTTGAGTCACTGAAGTAATTTAAGCTAATCTTGTGCAATAAAAAGGTAAGAATCCAATTTTCTCATGTGCTACACATTTTACACAAGAATATAATTATAAAAATACTGTCTGTAGAATACAACTATCAATACAGACACACTTCCACTGCTGCTTATTCTGAAAAGAGAATCACCTTATTTCCTATTCAGAATGAGTAAATAAAAAATGAGAAATAGTATTTCCAAAATCAGATCCATATTACAAAACAGAATCTGACAACCATGAAAACTTAGTAATAGTGAGGCCCACGTGGGAATACCCTAATTATGAGTAATTGCTTCAGAAGCAAAAAAGATGCACTTTTTGGCTCAGTTTATTTGAAATAAAAAATCCATGCCATAGTGAACTGACAAATTCTGATCCTGATTCTCAATTGACTAAAGGTTTCTTTAGTCTTATTAGCATGAAGTAGACACAGATCATATTTACAGATACTTAAAAGCTTTACATTGCTAGATTGGGATTGGAGAACCTGAATGTAAATTCAGTGCTGCTATGTTTTCTACTGCACACATCGCAGACACTTTAGTGGTCACTTCCCTCATTAGTAAGGCACACACTGGCAAACACACAGCATGA